CTTTATATATATATATATATATATATATACACACATGCTAGTTATCTTTTGGTAGAGTCATTTACTTCATACAGAAGACTGTAGAAAATATTTATGGTTAAAAAAGTGAATACCTCTATAAACACTAAATAAACAGAGCTGCATTTTTTGTACGGGAATGGCAACACAACATAGCGCTGTAACGGCGCAGTTAGTATTTTATCATTTAAAAAATCCTTTAGAAACACTGATAATCGTCGTTTTAGCTCATTAAGAGCTGCTGAGACTGTATACATCGAGAAGTTGTCGTGTACTCACGGATATTCCTGCAGCGCAGTTTGATTTCTGCAGACTGCGTACTGACTCTCCGCATCAAATCCTACAGCCATCGCCATAGCAACCACGAGCCGGAACCCGCAGTCACGTGGTGCAGGAGATACACCGCGCGATCTTTCATGGCTGCTGTTATGGCAACCTGCATACATTTTCACCATAAATCCTGACACTTGTAATAGACGCACTGAAGTTATGTCAAACGTATTTTGACATTAAAAAAATGTTTAGTTTTCCCCTTAAAACATAATGTATTCCACTTTGTGTGGGAGAAATTACACCTTGGAAACCAACAAAAATACATTACAAATACTCAAAAAACATGTCAGTTTGAGTGTGTGACTGGCACACATGTGTCAAATGCATGTTGTGTAATATTTGTGGGTCCAGGTGAAGTGCTAAGTGTTAAAGTGATATCTCTGGTGTGATATTTGAGAACAGCCTGCTGAACAAGTGATGTAATGCTACATTTCTCCAAATCTGTTCCAATGAAGAATCAAACCCTTAACACATCAACATCTTAAATGGCCTGAGGGCAAGTACATTTTCAGCAAATGCTAATTTTTGGGTGAACTGTTCGTTTAAATGAGAACCTGCATTTTACCTTGAGCTCCTCTGTAATATGCTGATGCGATGCATTTGAACTTTTCCTGACCAGCAGTGTCCCATCTGCAAATATTGTAATGTGCAAAAAAACAAATATAAAAGACATGAAAATTTCAAATGAACAGACGTTATTTAAATCATTCAGAAAATAACTACTCACATTTGAAGAGAAAAGGGCAGCCCAGACATCTCAAATCTCTCAATCTCAAAGTCAACACCAATAGTAGCCTTGTAGTCTCTCTCAAACACGTCTTTACAGAACCTATGACATACAAGCAAATAATGGAACTTAATGTCCATGAAAAATACATGTATCATTTAAATTAAGGTATATTAATGTATACATTTTACCTGTTTATTAAGCATGTCTTTCCCACATTGAGATCTCCAACCACTACTGCTTTCGACATCTTAAGCCTGTCATACCTAGAAAATAATATATGAAAATAATTATATAATAAATGGACTAATAATCTCTCTCTCTCTCATTTACATTTAGTCATTTAGCAGACGCTTTTATCCAAAGCGACTTACGAATGAGAACAAAGCAAGCAATCAATCTCCTTATGTATATATATAATAATATAATATATATACGGAATTATTCCAAACTTTTGATGGTAATGTATATCAATAAACATAACAATGCATCAATCAGTTTAATACGGCTGGAGCCTTACTACCCCCCCCCCCCCCCCCCCCAAAAAATAATTAGAAATGGCCAAACTGTCTAATGATTACAAATTACATGCCGCAAACTGTAACGTAATCTATTAGATTACACATTCTACGTAACGTAATCGGACCACTTTTTGATTACTTTTAGATGGCTTTTGACCTAACTTAACTTTACCACACAAATTTCAATAGGAATTTTGTACCCAGTTCATATAAACATACAGAGAACGAAAATATATTCTATTCTTTATTATCAACAACATGAAATGAATTAAATGTCAGGGTTTGCCAAACTGGGGTTTGTGAAGGAATAACAGGAGGTTTGTGAGCTGATGAAAAGCTAATTAATTAAGCAGGCTAAATCATAAAAACAATTTAAACCTAAAGAAAAAATAAAACACTTTTAAAATGAAAACAAGCTTTCACACTAAAAATAGAAATATTTTGCCAAAAACATATTTATCACTGCAATAATGATTCAATCCTAAAAAAGTATTTGCTTATTTAAATTCAGAGCAAAACGTGTTTTTAGTTACTGGTAGTGGTAATTGGTTTAGAGCAAATATTTTGTTGGTTTTTCAACTTTTGAATAGTAGTAATGGTCATGCGCTTACATATTCAGAGTTTTTAGAAAAATGTTCATTTTATATACCTGTTAAGGAGTCTACGATGGTAATTAATGCCATTCCTTCAGAATTTAGGAAATTATTAGAAAATGATATAGTCGAAAAACCAAATTTAGATTTCAGTGTTAAACTGGAAGGTATAAATATAAAAGAACAAAAATGTAATAATAATTATCTTAGAACGATTTGCCAAATTTCCAGTGTTCCTTTAGCCATTGGTTTTTGGAGATCACAATTTCAAGATGTCAACTGGAAAGAAACCTTTAAGATCTCCAGACGTTTTTGTATCACAAATAAAATTAGAGAAGTATCATACAAGATCGTTCATCTTATTTATCCTGTAAAACAGGTAATTGCAAAGTTTTGTAAAGACATTGACTTGAAGTGTGTTTTCTGTAAAGAGGAAAATGAGAGTATTGTTCATTTATTTTATGATTGTATTTATACAAAATTATTTTGGGGTGATTTGGTATTTTTTGTTAAACAAAGTATTAATATTGAATTGCAACTCAAAGAAAAGGATGTTTTATTTTTTTATGAGTATACTGTTGACTTCAAGATTTGGTATATTGTGAATTTACTCATTATATATGGAAAATTCTTTATTCACAAATGTAAATGGGAAGTGAAAAAACCTAATTTTACTCATTTCAGAATAGAAATAGGTCACTACTTGTATACGTTAAAAGAAACAAGAAATAACAAAGCAAAAAAAACTGTAAATTACTTTAAAGCCTTAAATCTATTCTTTGAATAATTTGTAATTATTTGTACTTGTTTACAGACGTGAGTTTTTTTTTTATTGCTTTTCTTATTTAGTTTTTATTTATTTATTTTAAGTATTTGTTTTCAGTTTAAATGTTATTGCCCTTATATGTTCTTTGTTCTAAAAATTGCAATAAAATAATAAAATAATTTTTTTTTAAAAGTTACTGGTAGTGGCGCATTCGCCTGAATGACCGCAGGGTGGCAGCACATCACCCTCAACGGCTTTTGGTAAGCGAGAGTGCTGTGTCACGCCAAGCAAGTTAGATTGTGCTCCTCATGCATGCTGCTTCAGAGATGATTTTCACCTGAAGAGATTTTCCTTAGCAACACCTAACTTTTCACATGTCATTTTAAAATAAGAATCATTTTTAAAACAACAGATTTGTACAAATCTAGATGAGCTGCTTCAGTGTCAGCAGGCCCTTTTAATGGGTGCTAAAGGCCAAAGGTGACTTGAATCGCTCAGTCTGGCCTTGGGTCTTATTCCATTTCACATTCATCAATAATGATGGACAGTTTCGTAGTGTATGAAGCTAAATTGATCCTATCTGTGTCCTGGCTGTGATAGGCTATGTATTATGATGTATTTTCAGAAAAGGGTTTGGTTTGATGCTGGCATCATCAACATCAAAGTGTTGGATGAACTAAACTAAAGTTCACACTTTACACTTTGACAAATGAAATTAAAGGAGAATGCAGGCTGTGCATGAACTTGTTTGAAGAACAAATGGCACTAAATATAGTGGTGTGATAATTCCTGCATCTGGCAGGTTCAGTGGAGTAAAAAAAAAAGATAATCAGACATCTCGAAGATTTTAACGACACCCTTGTGTGTTTCTGTAAGGACTCAAATGCGACATTGCAGAATTAGAGACAGGAATGATCTGTTTTTCTCTCACACCCTTTTATACAAGTGGTAAACAAATGTGAGAGAATATTTTGTTGCTGTCTTTATTCAGTTAATTACACATATCAATATTGTGTGTGATTACTCTATTGTGAATAATAGTGACCTACACTGTAAACCCAATATTCTGAAGAAAATTAATTCAAACAGATCAATCTCATGAAACATGTCAAGAACACACTTTTTTACTGTATCTCAATGAAAAATAAGGCCAATAAAATTGTAATCAGCCTAAATTAAAACATAGCAACCCAATTAGCATGATTTGTAAATACGACTGAAATCAACTAAAAATAAAAAATATATATAATTTACTATAAACTATATATACTATACAATAAATGTTGTGTGTGTGTGAAATATAAATGTATCAAAAATAAAAAAAAACACTTATTAATATTTGTTTTACGATTTAAAAATATAATAAATAATACAATTAAAATATTTACTTTTTAAAGTAATTATATAAATATATTTTTATGTTTATGCTTTATTTCATTCATATTTATACACAATGCTAGCTGGATCTTCGTTTAGGCTGATTTGGATTCATTTTATTGGCTTTATCTTTTTTTTTTTTTTTTGAGATAAAAAAATACTGTATTCCACTAATGGGAATCTAATTAGAAAATCATTGAGAATGATTTACAGAAATCACATCCAGATGTATTACAGTAATGAGAATAAGGGAAATGTGTTTAACTGTCATGGCAATAATGCCAGAAAGCAAAACAAAACAAAACAAAAAGTCCTAACATAGGCTTTATTTTCTTTATGCAAAATGTACTGTGAGCTTTGTAAAATGTAAAATGTGACCTTACTGAGGTTCACCTAACCATCTTATATCAGAGTGACACATCACATTTGTCCCTGTGAATGATTTGAACTCTGAATCCAATTAGTTGTCAAGACTCCAAAGCTTAAAACCGCTGTTTGCCATTCTGAAGAATGAGATTATATTGAGTGCCTTCCTCCTCTGTCTCTGTGGTCTGTCCTTCCCTGCTGCTCATGACAGTCACAAGGTCTTCCATTGGCTGGCCCTCCTGCTCGGCGCTGCTGTAGCATTCATCTGTTTATTTCTGTATGTTTTTTTATTTTTTTATTTTTCAGAACAAATGTACTCTTTCAATAATCTCGAGTCACAGTGCTCACAGCTGTGGCATAAACCACTACATACTGCAGTCTCAATAAGACAAAAAAAAACTGTCTTTTGAGTGACAGACATATCATTTCCCTCTGCCAAACACATCTAAGTCATGTACTGTACCCTCCTTTTATTCATTTTCATCAGCTTTACATGTGAAATTCAAGGGCATTGAGGCCAGGCTCAGTGAACTCCAGTCTCACAAGAGCGAAAACGTCCCACATACCTCATTAACACCCACAATGGTGAGAGAAATATGTTTTGTTCCCAGCAAAGCAAGTGTTGAAGACAGTTGAACACAGAAATATAAAGGTGTGTCTTTTAAAGGAACATACCTGTCCTGACAGATGAGGTTCAGTTTCAGAATACACCTCTTTTCACAGCTGTAAAATATTTGACCATTTTTTAAGCATATAATATAAAAAATTAGTCTTCATTCTGAAGGTTTCTGTCCATTTTTCACCTACTACGAGTTACACTAGTTACAATTACATGTAAGTGCGCTACTCACGCACGCGATCAGCCGAACCGACTGATGTTTATATGAATTTACAATAAATATTTTAATATATACTGAAACTCTGCAATGCTCTTGAGAATCAACAGCTTGTATATATCTATAAAATTTATCCGCTGGAGCTGCACGAATGGCATAAAATGGCACTAATTTTGCCAAGTTTTGTCGAAAGGCGATTACTTTTAACTGATAGCTTGTTAATTGTAGATAATTTATAATTGTATTATTATTTATTAATTATTAAAGGTACAAATATTTTTTTTTTTGTTTGTTTCTATCCACTTGCCCTAAAAAACGAAAGGGGCACTGGTGATGACTTTTAATAAAAAAATAAATAACAACATATGACCCCTTCAGACTGTTTATAAGGATTTACAATAAATATCTCAATAAATATTAAAACTCTTCAGCGGTCATGAGAAGTTAATATTTTATTAATAAAATACTTTATTTATTAAAAAAATTAATAAATAAAAAAAGGTCCTCCTCATCATTCGGACCAAATAAAACGTGCATGTTGTTGCACAAATGGCGTAAAATAACACATTGTGGAGATTGACAAATTTTGTGAAAAGGCGATGAGTTTTCACAACTGATAATCATGTTTTTAATAATTATTAATTATTACATTTATTCATTATAAAATTAAATACAAACACTTTTTGGTTTGTTTGGTTTTTTTGCAATTGTACTTTTTGTTGTTGTTGTTGTTTTTGTTTTGTTTGGACCCATCTTGCCTAAAATGTGGAGTGGGCACAGGTGAAAAATATTTTTTTATTTTATTTTATTTTATTTTATTTTATTTTATTTATTTATATTTATTTATTTATTTAATTATGGCCTCTTTAGACTTTCTCCAAAGGATGGAGCTGAAGGTCTGTTTTAAACCATCCTGTATTCTCAATTTATTCTTAATCAAAGCAGATTTGTAACTGCTCATATGCATTTTTTTTTTATCTGACAGTGTAGATACGTAATGAGTTGTACAGTGTGGTCAGGAAAAACATTAGTGATAAAATGGAGGAGGTGGCACCCACACATGATAGAATAGCTCTGAATATCTTGAACAGATTAATTCAAAATGCTTCCTTGGTACACAAACCTTTATTTTGTCAGTTCTGTAGGCTGTTTTGTCCTGGTACTCTAGAATTAGTGGCGTGATAAACAATAGCCTGTGCTAGTACTGACAACAATAAAGGGTCATCCAGGGTTTGGCCGCTAATTAGTCCATTATGCGAGATCATTCCAGCCTCTATTTCTCCCTCATCTTCTCTTCCGTCCATCTCTCACTCTCTCAGTTCTTTTTACTACAAACCCTCTGCAGACATAAATCAGTTGAAGAATAATTTAATTGCACATTTAATTAGCATGTTGATTGCCGTGGTGCAATGCACCATAAATAAAATCAGCGTTGAGCTTCTACTGTTGCTGGAGTGGACTGAATTGAAACAGACTGAGAAGACATTTCCTAGAATCTGATGTCCAGGGACAATTAGGCAGGAAGAAACGACTTCCTCATGGATTACATGCAATGCATCAGCCTGCAGCATATGCCATTGAATTAGAGTGACAGCATTCAATACATGCGTGCAAATGATTTATCATGGAGACAATGTATATGGCCACTCACTACAGTGACCTTAGCTGTTCCAATTTATTGCTGTTAACATTTAATGTGGCTAATAATGCTTTGAAAACATGCATATATTGAAATGTGTATCGGTGAACATATTTATGTTGTCTTGCATTGGCGGTCAATGCTGGAAGAATTCTTAAATGGTGTATTTTAACCAGCAGTATTCCACTATTCATATAGTAATGCATTTTAAACACAAATCAAAAGAAAACAAATAAGAAAATGAAGCCTGTTTTTAGGGCCATTAATGCTTTTGCATTATGACATTATTTACATAACAATTAAACATATTTGCCCCAGTTCCCATCACTGTATTGTATCTAGAACATTTGATTTTGTTTTTAATTTCCATTATTCTTAATGTCGTTATACTGTAATATGGCTTGTTTTTAGGATGTTACAGTAAAAATACTATATGGTCTTTTTTGCATAAGAGTTGTGAAAATTCTGGAAGGTGTTTTAATTGTAATGAAAGTGTCACAGTGCAAAGGAAATAAGTTAAAGGAATAGTTCACCCAAAAAGGAACATTTGCTATAAACTCAGATGAGTTTGTTTCTTCATCAGAACAGATCTGGAGAAATGTAGCATTACGTCACTTGCTCAGAGAATGGGTGCCGTCAGAATGAGAGTCCAAACAGCTGATAAAAACATCACAATAATCCTCAAATAATCCACACCACTCCAGTCCATCAGTTAACATCTTGTGGAGTGAAAAGCTGCATGTTTGTAAGAAACAAATATAAGGCGTTTTATTTTTAAACATCCCTTCTGTCCATAATCCATAATAACGCTTCCTCCAGTTAAAAAAAATCGATCCCGTTGTCCTCTCACATCAAAATCTACTGGCATGTTTGTTTAGAAACGTTTTGGACTGTTTTTGCTTGTAAATGGTGCTTGAATTGTGCATACTTCTCCCCTGATTCAGATGAGATGAGTTCTTCACTGGAGAAAGCAATATTATGGATAGAGACAACGTATTTTAGCCAGAAGCAATGGTTAAAAGCATTTAGGATTTTTGTGAAAACAAGTGATGGTTGTGATGTTTTTTATCATCTGTTTGAACTCTCATTCTGGTGGCACCCATTCACTGCAGAGGTTCCATTGGTTTCCAATGAAGGAACAAACTAATCTACATCTTGGATGCACTGAGGGTGTTTGGGGGATGAACTATTCCTTTAGTTCCTTTCATTTTTAATTTAAATTTTTTTTTTGGGTGACAATTTTGTGCTTGTTAATGCCTATATAAACGTTTGAATAAATATAAAATGTTATTATTACGCATTATTGTTGGATTGCATTGTAGAAAATATTATATTGTAATAAATATGCCTTTATATGTGGAAAAAGTGTCAAACACAAGCAATTATGGGTAACTTTGATGACCAAGAGTTAATGAAGCCTCACTCACCCCAACACAAGAAACAAACCTGCAGCACAAACAACATTTGCATAATTCTTTTTATTCACTATTATTGTTCTGTTATACTTTAGTATTTGTTTGTTTTGTTTTGTTTTTTGGTGGACATCCTGTAAAATCAATCCTTAAGCCCTTATTTGGGTTTGTTGTACATCATCATAACTGAACAGGAGGAGGATTGGAGCAGGATGGACCCCTTTAATCTGTCAATCAGCCCTACATCTTTAAAAGTGATTTTGTTTTTTATTTTATTTTTAACTTTTTTCATTGTCTCACAAAATGTACCTCACATAGTATTTACACATACAGTGGACAATGTCTGCTTAAAATGACACCAGAATAGAAAGATTCTGCTCTTTTATAGATTTTCTTTCTCTCTTTCTCTCTTTTTCTGATTCAGACAAAATTTGAGTAAATCCTCTTTTAATGTTTTCGTGCTGAGTTCAGGTTGCGCTGGACGTAAAATGACTCTCTTCACATAAAACTCTTTTCAATAAATACCTTGCAGGAAACAACTGTACAATCGTACACAGTGTTTGACTTTGATATATTTTGGGAGCATGTTAGTAAAACTAAAAATATAAGAAAGCAAATCAAACTATAATTTATCAAAAACCCAAAGTAACAAATTCATGCATATTTAATGTTACAATATATATATACTTTTTTGTCCATAAAAAAAGAAAAAGTGACATGATTGGCGGGCCTTTTTTATTTACATTGATATTGGCACTGTTTATTTTTCTCTGAATCGGGAATGAACGTTATGAAACAATT